GGGGGCTGGTTGGCACCGAGGCCCATCCGGGGTCTGTCGGCAGTTTGAACGTAGCTGATTCCGGTGGCTGGATTTTGCCGGGTTTGCTTGCGTTGTCCTTGAATGCTCACGAGCATCCGCACTGTCAGCAGCAGCCCAGCACCCCCAGATTATGGGGGAGATCAGCCACCGCTCTCACCTGCTCCCATCAAACGATCCGGCTGCATTAAATCCCGAGTCTGCTCACGGGTGTCGCAGAAGCAGCAGTTGCAGAAGGGTAGTTTTCGCACAACCACACGAGTATTGCAGGGTCCAGGCCCCTGGCTGGGGCAGGTCGGCCATTCCTGTAGTGGGGGGTGTCCCAGGGCCCCCAGCAGCAGCTGCTGCAGGACACGTCGTTAGCGTTGGATGTGCCATAAGAGACTCGGCGTGACCCAAGCTTCGGCTCTGTCGTTTGTTCGCCTTTCTTCCGTCATCGTGGGACGTGTGCTCCCACCCTGACAAAGCTCCCGGTGTCGCTCTCCAGATTGCGCTTGCCAGTTTCTACGAGGACGGGGGCGACGAGGACATCCTGACCCTTCCCCAGCCGACACCCAGCTCACTCTCCAGAGCCACTGTGGCCAGGTGAGGAGGGCGCTTGGGCTCCGGTTGATGGGTTTATCCTCACCTCGTAGCCCTGCCGGTGGAGGGTGTTTCGGTAAAAACGCAAGCTCTGCCTAGAGCGTTGATGCACCTTAATTTTCAGGAGAGACAGCTCTGTGTTTCGATCCATTTCACCTCCCTCTAGAAACAGGGAAAACATCAGTGTTCCTACATTGCGGGTGTCATTGCACAACTAATCCAGGGCTCGGTGGGGACAGCTCGCCTCGTTGCTCAGGAAAAACCTGATTTGTCTCTTGTGTTAGAAGACAGTTGGTTGGTGACACTTTCCTCTGAGCAGGAAAGCTGTTTTCTCCTTCTGTGTGACACCTGATCATCATGTCAAGCATTTAAGTTAGTTTTCATAGGATCAGAGAATGGTTTGGGTTAGAAGGGAACTCAAAGCCCACCCAGTGCCCCCCCTGCCATGGTCAGGGACACCTTCCATAGCCCAGGGTGCTCCCAGCCTCATCCAGCCCGGCCTTGGACACTCCCAGGGATGGGGCATCCACAGCTTCTCTGGGCAACCTGTCCCAGTGCCTCCCCACCCTCTGCGGGAAGAATTCCTTCCTGATGTCCCATCTCCATCTCCCTCTTTCCATTTAAACCCATCACCCTTTGTCCTGTCACTCCTGCCCTTGGGAAAAGTTCCCCCCCAGCTTCCTTCCGTGTCTGCGGCTCCTCCGGCGCGCCTGCTCTGCTGCTCTCCTGCTGTAGTCGGCAGAGAGGCCCGAGAGCTTGGTGCGGTTAGGGCAGCGCCGACCCGTTGTGTCACAGCAGTGAATCATCCCCGAAAAGTAGAACAGAGTCGCCCTGACGGCTGTGCGTGGGGGCTCTGGCTTGCGTGGTTGAACTGTGTCACGTGGCTGACGTCCTTCTGATGGACTTTTGCAGTGACCACAGAGTAACGTCGTTCAGAGACCTTGTTCATGCGCAGGAGGAGGAGGATGAAGAGGAGGAGGGACAGCGGTAAGTGTTCACTTACAGACTTAAACCCCGTGGGCCTGTCCCTGCCCTGTTTCCCATGGCTTAAGCAGGTTTTAGGATTCCGAAGGCGCTGCGGAATTCTTGCCAGGAAGAATCTCCAGTTTGGTTGGGGAAGGGTGGGAAAGGTCGCAGAGTCTGTGCACGAGCACATGGCTGTACAAACACCAGTTTTCACCACTAAACTGTGCTGTGGAGAGGAAGCCTGAGCTGGGATGTGGAAGCCCTGGGTTAAGCAGGTTAAGAATAGAAAAAAGCCCAAATCATCATTTGTGTCTGTGGAGAATGGAAATGTGGGAATAATGCAGGGATTGTTTTTCTCTCTGCTTGGGATATTTTAAAATTTGATTTGGATTTTTGAATTTGAGTTTTTTCAAGTGCTGCTTAAGGGTAACGTAATGGAGCGTGGAGGGGGAAGTCTAGTGGAGCTGAAAGTCTAGTGGGAGGTGTCCCTGCCCATGGCGGGGGGGTTGGAACTGGATTGTCTTTAAGGTCCCTTCCAACCCAAACCAGTCTGTGATTGTACAGACATAAAATGTAGGTCCCCTTTCCAATGGGAACGTGGCACACTAGTGGGAACGTCGTCTGGGATGTCAGCTGTCCGTAGGTAGATGCCCTTCAGTTGCCAGGGGAGGTAAACTGACTCAAGTGGTGTCTCTTAAGGTGGCTCAGCACGGGTAGGCTGCGTGGTCTGCCGCAAACAGATGGGAGCTTGCTCTCCATGGGTTACAAGCCAGCTGGAAGGCAATAAACCCCATCTTCCAGAAGCGCTGAACTGCACTTCGCTGTCTGCACATGCGTTGTTTCCGGTTCAGATCCGTGCTGTGGGCGCTGATCTTCAGCGGAGCACGGACGCGTGTGCCTTCCCTCCAAATGCCAGGAGAGAGAGTCGTTACCGTTTTATCGCTATAGGTCAGCAGGTGAATTCACAGTAAGTGACATAAAGCCAAAGGCTCTGCAGTGCAGGGACTTAAGTGGCTGGAGCAGGAGATGCACTGGTAGGAGGTAACATTTGCAGATCCAGGCTGTTTCCTCACGCTGTACAAAAATGAACTGAATCCTGATGTAAAACTGCTGGGTCCTGTTGCACGTGTCTCCCGGAGACGAGGCCGCCCTTACCCAAAAAGCTGTGCGCTTTCCGTTAGGTTTTATGCCGGCGGCTCGGAGAGAAGCGGACAGCAAATCGTTGGTCCTCCGAGGAAGAAGAGTCCCAATGAGCTGGTGGAGGATCTCTTCAAAGGCGCGAAGGAGCACGGGGCAGTGGCGGTCGATCGGACGGCCAAGAGCGGCGGCGAGACTAGCAAGCCAAAAGTGAGGAGCGACGGGTTCTTCTTCCTTCTGGTCCCTGTTGCAGTTGTCATCCATGTATGACTCCACGGTTAGGTACTGCGGAGTCCTGGAATTGGCTCCAAAGGAGGGCAAAGTCCAGGCTCCCCTCAGCGCAGCTCCAATTCGTGTGTCACCGTGGCAAAAAAAGCCACTGGTGCCATGTGTATTCACTGGTTCAAGCTGGTCCCTGTGCCCGCAGGGCAGTGGGTGTTGCTGGTGCCGCGGAGCCCCCTTCTTCATCCATAACGGTGTCGGGGAATGGGAAGGGAGCTGTTTCGGGTTCCTCTCATTCCCTGACCTCTTTGCCCGCCCCTCTCTCTTGCAGCCCTTCGCAGGGGGAGGTTATCGCCTTGGGGCTACTCCAGAGGAGGAATCCGCTTACGTGGCAGGAGAGAGGAGACAGAACTCTGCTCAGGATGTGAGTATCTCCCTGTTCCATTCTGGAGGTGTCACCCCAGGGATTTCACTGCTCTCGCTGCGCAGCTGCGAGCCCAGGGAGGTATAAAGCTTGATAGGCATTCAGGAGGACAGTGTGTGGTAAAATCCTGCTTCTTGTGGGATTTCTGGTTAGAAAATAACGGATGCTTGGGTAAGAAGTTTTCTGGGGGACTTTCACTGAAGAATCTGAGCGTTCCTTAGAAGAGCCGATTGTGAAAAATAGTGAGCCCAGAGCCCTGGGCGATGAACTCGTTATCTGCTCAAGAGATGTGGAGCTGACGGCATCAATGCAAGATTTTCCGCTTGTTTTTTGAGCAAATACCCCTCTAGGCCTGGTGGGAGCTTGGTTCAGGCCCCTCGCCCAGCACACTCTTGGCTCTTCACCCGTGTTTATCAAGAAGGGATCTGTGGTTCCTTCCTGGTCCCTGTCCGTGACCTAGCCAGTGCTTTGGATTTTTGGAAATTCCCTGCCAGTCAGGAGCTTTTCACTTTGCACCCGGTTATTGTTCTTACGAAGGTGCTTTGGTGAGGCTGAGTGTTGTTTGGGGGCTGCTGCAGGTGCATGTGGTACTGAAGCTCTGGAAGAGTGGATTCAGCCTGGACAGCGGAGAACTGAGGAGCTACCAGGATCCGTCCAATGCCCAGTTTCTCGATGATATCCGCAGAGGGTATGTAGCAAGAGGGGAAAGAAAAATAGCTGTTTTCTGAAGCACAAGTGTTTGTGGAATTCGGGATGCTGAATCAATGGGACCTGAGCTTTTCTTATAGGAGCTGGATTCTTAATATGGAAACTGTGGGAGGGCAGACTTGGTGGACAAAAAGCCGGACACGAACTGGCCATTTGCGCTGACAGCCCGGAAAGCCAGCC